CTATAAGCTAAAGTCTATAATTATAAAAAAGCAGTTTTAGATGCTTCTACTATTAATTTACATGTGCAGGCAGATATATTAGTAGATAGGAACTTAGATTTAGTTTTAAAAGCCCTTAACTATAACTTTAAAAAGTAAACATTAAATAAAGATATAAAAGCATTAGAATAAAAACTTAGTAGTTATTAAGTTAATAAATAAAAAACTATGTGCGCTAGTATTAACTAAAAGATTTAATTAAACTTTAATGCCTTTTAAGCATAAAATAGTAGGGACTTAAAAATGTTTTTCTTTAAATAAGTGTAATAAGTTAATATTTACTAAGTTATACTTATTTAAGCCTAAAATAAAAAGTTTTTTTAAGTGTTTTTATTTTCTATTTAAAAAAAGTTTAAGTTATAATTATTTATATTTATAAACTTTTTTTTAAATTTTTATTACTCTACCTTAATTTCTTATACTCTAGAGATAGAATAATTACTAGTAAAATATTCTAGTTTACTATAATTATAATAGTTGCTAGAAGTTGTTTGTCTTTTAGAGGCAAGTGTCTAGCTAGGTTGTTAGTAGGTAGCTAGGGTAGATTAGGGTACTAACATAGGTGCAGATTAGGGTGCACTAGAATAGTATACTGCCTTAGATGTGTTACTAGAAACTTTCTAAGATTAATCTATAATAAGTCTAATATTAAATTATTAAGTGTAATTAATAGTTTACTTTAAAATAGCAAAAGTGTTTCTTCTTTTTATATTATAAGCTATTAAGTAGGCTACTATTAACTTAAAAAAGCTTTTTTAAGTGTGTTTAAAACCTAAGTTTAGTACTTTTAGGCTAAGTAGTATCTTTTTTTATAAGTAAAAAAACTATTTTAACTTTAATATAAACTCTTTAACAGCAGCACTAATAAAGTAAGCTTTAAAAGTAGAAAATGCTTTTTTTTTACTTATTTTTAAAGTCTAAAACACCTGTTGCGCTTCTATCTTTTTATTACTAGTAATAAAGTATATTTATAAGAGCTTAATTATTTTTTTTATATTTTTAAACTAAAAGTTGTCTAATTTAGCTAGGTATCTAAGCTCTAGGTATTCCTTTATAATACTAGCAGTGTGTCCTTATACTAACGCTATGTGTGCGCGCTTACTCTAATAGTAATCTAAATTAATGTTAAGTCTATCTATAATAAAGGCTTACTATTATTTAAACATAAGTTTTTTGCTATTTATAAAGTTCTTAATCTTAGGCATATATTTAGTAAGGTAGCTTTAAAAGAGCTTAAAAGTGCTTAAAAAGTCTTTTACTATTAAAGTAGTAAAGGTAATTTAAAGCATTATTAAAAGTAATTTAGTAGTTAGTAAAGGTTAATTAAGACTAATAGTTTTTAATCTAGTTAGCTATTTAATTTATGTTTTTAGTTAAGCAACTTAGTTTTTAAAGGCTATGTTACTATAGTTTAACTCTAAATCTAGTAAGTTTTTAGCTTTAAGTTCTATAAAAGAGAGTTTAGCTATTAAAGTAGGTAGTTATTTAGTTCTAAAGGTAAGCATCTTGCCTTAGCTATAGCTAGAATAGGTTGCAGTCTTTATAATAAGATCTAATAGTAGTTAAAAGTTAAGCATTAGTAGTTATCTTTAATCTTAATAAGTTATTAGTAGTTTTTAAGTTTTTACTTTAGCGCACTCTTTACAACTTTTTTAAAGGCAATTCTAATTATAAGGGATAAAAAGTTCTAAACTTAAAAGCTTTAGTTAATAAAAGGTCTGTAAAATTTTATTTATACTAACTAAATAATTTAATATAATAGTGTATAAGAAATTATAACTTAAACTAAATTAAATACTTCTTAAAACTTAGACATAGTTAAATAAATAATTAATGTAATATTATTAATAAAGCTGTTACTAGTAAAAGCAAGTTTTCTAATATAATGTAACAGCGTAGGCAAGATAATAAGTCTAAATGCAGAGGGAATCTACTTAGAGGCATATAGAAGTGCGTGGGGACTCTGAACCTAGGAATGCCATTAACACCTATAGGCCTAGTACAAAAGGATATTAGAAAACTACTAAGCTAGCTATAAAGGCAAGGTGCAACTAAATACATAAGGGAATAGGGGTAACTGCAAGGGACTAGGTTGAGTTATGGTTGGGGCTAATACAGGGACCCTTCAGATAGGATCTGAGCGACCCGAGATGGAACGATTCGTAGAATTGTTACAAAATTAAGGTAGGTTAGTTAATCTTAGCTGTTATTAATAGTTAAACGTGAGTAGATAGACTAGTAGAGGACAGGGTTAAGGAGAACAGTTGCGCGTTAGGACGTGTGCAATGCTAAGCCTATAATTTTTATAGTTAGAATGTTAGAAATTTATTTAAAAATAGTCTAAAGTAGATTATATATACCCTTTAAGTAATTAATTTTAATTATAGGCGCTGTAATAAGCTATGTGTAATAGTATCTTGTATAGAAGTTTCTAGTAAGTTAATGGACAAAGCTTTGCACACGTCGCGCTGCACTAAAGTCCCTCAGACGGCAGCCAAGAAGGAAGAAGCCCCAGCAGGGGTCTGAAAGTATCTATACTATTTGTGTACTAGTGTCTTCTTGGCATGCCGTCTGAGCTAGCTGAGATAATCTCCGACATTTCATTCGTCCGGGGCCACAGCATCTGTTGATCCCGAGTCGCATTGCAGAGGAAACGCCTTTCGAGCAGCTTGCCGATTTGACAGAATTATTGGATGATACAGTCTGTGCAGGAAAGCTGCCCGGGCAATCAAATGGAACCTCGACATACCTCCAATGAAGATACTATCGTCAACGGGCTCATGATATCTTTCCACAAAGCCTCCCACCTCACGCTCAGATGGAGGATGTTATTCCATTCTTCGTAATGCGTACGTACTGTTCCCTGCATTCTACAGCTTGTCCTCCTTCAAGTCCTAGACCGTACCCATCCAACTCCGATCACCGAATCCAAGCTTTCCCATATCCGCGGCCCGGCCATGTATTGGCGTCGCTCAGGGTTACCGTCGCCCCACCGTCCACCTTCTTCGAGGGCATCACCGAGCTCCCACTCACTCCGGACGGCTCAGAGAGACTGCGCCATTAAGGTCGTACAGGAGTCCCGTCAACAAGCAACAGAAAGGGCACCACCTGCTTCAGATTTCTCTTGCCTATTCGCCGTGCATGTTGGGGGAGCGCGTCTCAAGTATGACTGATCGGTCGTCGACACTGGGGAGAGGCTGACGTGAGTGAACTTCTCCAGAATCATCAACATTTAGGCACCTGCAACAATGGCAGCCACGAGTTCCAGTTGGAGGCACACGTCCGGGATGTGGCCAAATCACTATTCAATAGACAACGCAAGCCCGTGGAGAGGAACTTGGAGCTATTAGATAGCCTGAGGCTATCACCGTAGCCCCCTCCCTAGCTCAATCCTGGATTTCCAGCCGCTTGTCGCAACAGGAGACACTTGAAATCTCCCTCAGTGACAATGGCCATGAGTTCTACCCTTGGATTAGGTCCGCATAAATAACGCAGACTTGCGCCGCCGTGATTCGGACAGGCTGCCTGGAGTTCCACTCATCAGGGGACAAGATAGGCCAAAAAGACCCCGTAACTGCTCCCGTTCCGAGCCGCCATGTTGCAATCTGGTCGCCTTCTTGGCCTGAGCGATTGGCCCACACCACCCAGGAGACTGTCACTCTGCCGCATGAATCTCCTTGTCCAGCTGGTTTTGACTGCTCCATCAATCCTTGCGGTCTTAGATCCTCCTCGTGAAAGTGGGTGTGACAGTGGCCACCTTGCAAGCTGGCATAGTCCAACCCATGCACGTCTGCATCAATCTACGCCGCGTAGTCTGACCAGCGAGAGGTAAAGTGTTACCTGCAGAGTCATTGATACCGAACCCGTGAGTCTCTTTGGTCAATCTGTGTCTCCGCCAGGCTCGTCTCCTTGCACTACCCCTATCGCTGCTTCAGGACCGTCCTTTCTGGGTTAGTATCAAATCTGCACCATGTGAGTTACCCCCACCATCTCTATCCAATCTGGACTCTGAGCCTTCATAGATGCATGTTGGCATGGATTTACGCCACGCAACCGGCGAGTATCACAGTGGTTTGAACCACGACTCGGCGGCTCAGCCCCTCGAGTCCGCGAGGCTACAACCTTTCCTTCCGGTCTGGTCGTCCTTAGCTGAAGCTTGCAACATGCCCTGGTCCGCGTAGTCCTGACAATGGAGGGATTCGCGGCATTTGGCCCATTCTCCATCAGACTGCGGCTGGGCTGATTCCGCTGCATGATGCCTCCGCGCCGCATAATCTTATCCCTGAGGACTTGCAGCTTTTGGCAATCCTCCGCCCGACTACGGCTTGACTGATCAGCCCCTGGGCCCTCTTGAGACCTTTTGCCATCTAATTAGGGTTAGTCGGTCATTGCTGAGGGGTATTGGCATGAAGCTTGCGACTGCTTCCGATGGCCCTTACGGGGCCCAACACCCTGTTCACATGAGAGCGCCTGCCTGAAATAGCTTCGAGGCCGTCACAGATGTGTCCGCATGACACTACTCTGGCCAGTCGACAGTGGATCCGGTGCTCTTATGAAACCTTGCTGCTTGTTTAACGTGATGATAGGGGTTACTGCTATCCAATTAAAGTTCAACAGCAATGTTCTCATAGTTTCACTCTGCGATCAGTCTCAGCCGTCCGATCCTTTGTCTTTCACATGGCCGGGTTAGACGGTCCATCATCCCTCTTCCGTCGAGACCGGAATCTGTAAAGTCAGCGCCTTACTCTCTGATTAGAGTCAACCATGTAAATGGCTGTTCCTTGACATATTGGAGCCCCATCCGATCATTTTGAATGTTTGAGTTGTTGAAAGCGTTTTCCATATTCATAGGTATCTTGAGGAGACAGAAGGGGAACACTGTAGCGACTGTGAGAAATTCTTTTTGAAAACATCAGTAATAGTATGTTTTGACCACGATTGCTGGTTAATACAGCAATGAAATGTCTTCCAGTCTCTGGAGCATCAGACGACGTTCAACTCCATTAGCCGCTAGTGGCTTCAAGGATCGCAAAGTGGCGCAGGCAACAGCCTTTGGCCGAGACAAATCGAACGGCAAGTATACCCGAGTCTTGGAGGCCCGGAACTGGACCCTGGCAGGCCTGAAGGCCCGGAAGTGGGCCCTCCGAGCGGGGTAAAGGACCAAAACTGGGCTCTCCCTGCCGGGCAAAGGACCCAAAAATGGTTCCTACAAGGAGCTCAGGGCCAAACTCAGGCACTGCTCAGGGCTGCTCAGACCTGCTCATCGCTTCTCAGGCTGGGCGCAGGCTTGCACCGCCACAGCTCAGTGTCGCTTACTCATGGCTCAGGTTTCAACACCGGTTGCTCAGGTCTGAAAACGGAAATGGACTTTGGTGAGGTCAAGATTCGGGTGTGAGTATAGTGGTAATTATCCTTGGAGTTTTCTTTTTCCCTGCGGTGGTTTCTAGTTGGTGGCTTTCCTCTAGGCTTCCTAAAAGTTATCCTCGGCAACTTTGGTTTCCAACCGGTAGCATTATACCCATGCAGTTATTCTTCGCAGATTCCCTGGACCAGGACGATGGTCCATGCAGATTTCAGAGGTACGACCGTACGACATCGGTCTTTGTCGTTCCCATCCACATTGTACAGAACCTTTAGGACAGAAAGTTCTGCGAGTAAGGACTATCTTTTAAGAAGAGGGAGGTTAGTCTGATGCACATTGTTTCATGTGGATGGGGATGGCGTGCCGTGGCAGGAAGTGCACACAATTCATTCTGGGTTGGGAGATATCCGCGAACGAGTAGGTGGATAAAGGTGTGTGGTTTTTAGTTGTGTACTTTAGTTGTGTATAGAAACGAAGCCAATTTAGCTACCTCTTCTTTCAGCAAATCCCTCTTTTGCTCTCCTATTTCTAGGTTTGATGACTTTTGTGGTAGACATGCCCTGCTATCGTAGTATCGTTATCTGGTATTTCATTATCAGGATAAAGCGGCTGAGGCTTTACAAACAGTAAACCATCTTAATGTGCCTGAGTACTGTAACTACTGCAACAGTATCTGGTAAAGCAAGACCAATGTAAGGTGCCTCACATTCCACCAGAAGCAGAAAGGGATAAGGAGGACGCAATGCAGCCATAGGCATGCTCGCTAATTTTGCCAAGTACCCGGGGGTAAGGACGACGCTAGCGACTAAAATCCGAAGAGAAGTTGATGCGAGAATGCTTGAAGCTTCATCCCATAGCAGGCATACGCGTTGAGAGTGAGAGCCCTGAACGTCCAGCAGCGCTACCATTTTACCACTTATCAATAGGCTCCGCATCTAACCCCCCTTCCGATTTTGGTGTAAGTAGCTTGTCGTAGACGCACATAATGGTACTTCCATCCACCGCCTCCCATCTTCCACCCTCTCCATCCCACCAAACTTTAGCTTCAACTTCAACACTCCCACAACCGACAAACTCCACGATACCAAATGCAACCGATGGCCATACATCACATGAACCGACAGCCCCTCCTTTCAAGAAGCAAAAGCGGGAACGGAAAGAAAAGACTCATATCCTGCACCAATCTACCTTCAAAAAACCACTATGGACATACTTCCACCTCTCACTCCTCACCCCCGACACAACCACAGCTACAACCACAGCTCTAACCACAGCCGCAACTGGAAGCGCAATCACTTCAACCAAAAAAACCCCAGAACTCTCCTTGCCCGACCCTGACCTCGACATCGATCCCCTAACAACATCAACCCTCCTCCACCCCGCGCTCTCCACCTTCCTCGGTATCGCCGGCACCTCGATGCCTCTCGATATACTAAAGACCTCCGGACGGGACGTCTGGTTACGGGTTCCGCGACAGAATGCGCGCGGCCTGCAGGCGGCGTTGAGTAGTTGGGTGGGATGGTGTGATGCAGATCTGATACCAGGGGTGAGGGACATGAAGAAAGGCAGGGTGAGAGTTGTGTGGCGGGTTAATGGAAGCGCAGAGGTTTTGGCCGGGTGGCTTGGGGAGGGAAAGGAGTTGTTTGATGGCTGAGCGTTCGTGCTATGTGGGAAGGGAAGAGTTAAAGGGGAGGAAGGAATGTACGAGGCAAGATATTGATATGATACCGTCATTCAAGTATAATAGAAATGCGCAACATGCAATATGAAACAAAATTTTTTGTCATTCAATCTACAAGCCGTGCCTCAAAGTCAAACAGCATGAGCAAAGGAGAAGAAGATATGAACAGGTACAGCACCCATCACCACGCAGGACAACTATTTGGAGGGAATAAATGAGCTTGCTCTGAAAAATCCGCCACAGAAAAGAAAAGCTCCCACCCCAGTCCCTTAATCCCGCATCATAAAAAGGCTTCAACCATAAAGAATCCGAACAAGTCTACCATCCGGGCGCCGGCGGCTGCGGCGACTGATGACTCGGTCCGCCGTACCCAGCTTGATTTCCGTAGGCAGGTGGTCCCTGTGTTCCATAGCCACCTTGTTGTCCAGGATAGCCTTGGCTGTGGCTGTTATCATACGGCCCGTGTCCGCCACTGGATGGTGGATAGCTCCCTTGATGGCCCGGTGACACAGGATACTGCGGTGCTCCTCCACTATAGCCAGGTTGACCGTAACTCGGGTGCTGCGATGGCGGCGGTGGGTATTGATTATGGCCTTGCTGGCCGCCGTGGGGTGCGCCATATTGGTTGTGTTGATGTTGGTCGTAGTTGTGGCCGCCTGGCGGCGGGTATTGCTGAGGTTGACTTCCATAGCCAGTCTGACCTTGAGGGGTGTGTTGAGGGGTTTGGGTAGATTGTCCGTATCCGCCGGGTGGTGGAGAAGAGTAGTTGTGGGAGCTTGGGGGACCGTGTTGGCCTCCGGGCTGGTAGGATGTAGGTGGGGCTTGGCCGGTGTAGGTTCCGCCTGAGGACGTCTGTACACCGTGGTTGTAACCGTAATTGGTAGAGGGTTTGCTATGCTGTTCCGGAGTCAGCTATGTCCTTCCAGACGTTCTCCTATATCGTCATGAGAAAAGTTTGCAAAAGAGGACTCACAGATCCGCCTCCAAGCACGCCTCCAAGGATCCCACCAAGGCCTCCCGGTCCCCCATGTCCAGACTGGCCTTGGCTTCCATGGCTCTGCTTCCCGCTTCCTAACAGGCCTGTCGCGAGGGAGCCCACAATGCCCGCGGTGCCCCCTCCGCCGTGTCCGCTGCTACCATGCGATTGCTTTCCGCCACCCAACAATGATCCCGCAAGCTGACCAACAAGGTTCCCTGAGCCGCCTCCATGTCCACCACTACCATGTGACTGCTTTCCGCCGCCTGTAAGAGCGTTCAGTGCAAGACCCTATTGCAATAGTCAGCATCTTCCCCTTTCAGCGTCGCCATCATTAGGTATCATACCCCAAGTCCTCCAGCACGATCGCCTGTCGGGCCATCAACCCCTCTTGTACCATCACCCGCCTCAGGACCTTGGGTTCCTTCCGCAGGCTTGTCATGCGGATTTGTAGGTTGCGCGGGCGTGCCGCCGTTCGCGCTAGGGCCGACTGGGGCCTCGCTGGTGGGCAGTTCCCATTGGGAGACGCCGGTGCTGATTTGCACGTCTAAACTCCAAGATCAGTATTCTTCGTTTCCATCCGCACTCCCTTCTCGGTATACGCACAGTAATATTTACGAGATCTACGTCGGGGTCAGCAGGGCGTCGTACGGAGCCTTCATGGCGGGGTAAAGGAAGCGGCATGGGAGAAGAATGAGGTAGCGGAAAGAAGACTTACTGGTTATCCCATTGAGCTATCCAGCCCGCCGGAAGTTTTGGAAGCGTCGGATCCGTAGGACCAGAGTCTGGGGACACTGGTGGTTGAGGGGGGGTTGGTGCTGCCATGGCTGGTATTCACTCTGGTTTCCTTCCAAAGCGGGGTAGCTGCTGGAGAGTGGGGGAGGAAAGGAAAAGACAAAAGCACCAAAGAAAGGTCTCAAGAATATAGGAAGTAAGAGAGATTTGCTAGAAGACTTCTCAGAGCGCTTATATGGCAGTACGGGTGTCAGTGAGTGGTGGGGATTTTAGTGAGAAGTCAGTCCCTGGTTGCTGGCTGAGTGGCTGTACCCTGGCCCAAGCCATTCACGGACCCAAACAAACGCAAATCAGGCAACGCAAGTTGTGGCGCAGGCGGTGGCGCGCAAACCCTTCAGCTGTCATGGTCCATTTGGAGGCGCACGACGCGTTGGTTACCGCAAACTGTAATTCACGTACCCAATATCGTCCGTAAATGTGCTAGCTTCGGTAATGAAATATGCCTAGGTGCACAGATGTAGTCCTGCCGTGCTTCCAAAACCCCTGCTATTGACCCTTTCCGAGAACGGCTGCTGTACCGATAGCCCGATGTACTTGCAATGCCCGAAAGCCGAGAAAGAAATGATCTTCTAAAAGCCAGCCCAATGCAAAGAAACCCGACCTACCCACGTAATAATACATGTAGTGAGACTTGCCTCACACGTCAACTCGCAAGTCAATTCCCACTTCATCGTCGTCAGGGTCCTGGCCGTTCCAGTCTTCGTCACCGCTAAGCTCGTCGTCCAAGAAATCGTCCTCGTTGAAAATTGTATCCCGTGGGCGGAAATTGTCGATACGGAAGATAACTGTATCACATCTACCCTGAATGGAACCAACCTCATCCGAGTCAGAAGCAGGGTCAGAGCCTAATTCAGAGCCTAATTCAGAGCCTAGCTCCTCGCCCGACGTCTCATCGTAGTTAGGAGTAGTCCCACGACGGGATCGGAGGCGCTTTGAATCCCACTTCTCGCTTGTCTTTTTATCCTGCGAAGAAGGGAGCACAGCATCACTATCCTCATCCTGGGCTTCGCGCACTCCATTAAGCTCTGTCCCAACGGAGGAGTCATTTTTCAAGTCACTCTTCTCATTCAACATGCTTCCTCCCGCTTTCCACTCTCGAAAGGCTCGCAAAGACACAAGATTAGGGTTAGGAGATGTCATCTTCTTCGCGAACACCTTCTGGAACCGAGCAGTCCACTTGCTCCTGTACTCCGCGCGCTGTCGCCAGTCAATGTTCACCATGCCAACGATCGTGAGTTCGCGTAGATCAGGCAACTGTTCAGCAGAGCCGATGAGGGAACTGAAGAAGGCCGTAGCTGTATCCAGGTTCCATTTACGAAGATACTCCATTTCAATGGTTCGAAGGGTACTTGGCCAGCTTGGGATTTCGCCTTCCTTGAGCAGCTCCTTGTAAATAGGAGCGGAATCCAGGACTGTGGTAAAAGTATTGTAAAAATTCAGGTCCATCCGAAGCACTTCAAGTCGCGGACAGGACTGCTTCAGATTGACAAGAAAGGAGAGGTCCAAGCCTTGATTATGATCGAGGATCAATTGTTCCAGCTTTCCTCCGCGGCTAACCAGGAAGGCTTCTAGTGCTTCTGATGTAAGGAACCTGCAGTTGGTGGCAGAGAGACTCACTAGGTTGTTCGGCAGCAGAGGGAGAAGATGGTTATTGAAGATTGTACAGCTTTCAAAGGCTAAGGAGTTGAGATTGGGAAGCACAGCGAGAGCTAAACCCAGAAGCTCCTCCGTCGTCGGCTGCCCCTCGTTACTCGTCCGAACAGGGTCGGGCTGAAAGCGGGTGAAGATGACTTCTCGGAGACTCTGGAAAACATTGTCCTCGTGGAATTCCTTCATTTCGAGGAGTCCGCGGTTGAAGAAGTTGCTGTGCCAACGCCAGCTCCTCAAACGGAGCTCGCTCGTGCGCAGAGCCCCGAAGAGTTCGTCAGGGTAATACCAACGGAGAATTCGTCGAGATCGAGGGTGATACGGTGGCCTGTCGATAGGGTCGAATATATCAATCTCCTTCAGAGTTTTCAGAGATTTTACCAGGGCGGCAAGGTCGTTGACGCTCTGTGTGCGATCCGTCAACTTGAGCATCTTGGTCCCATCCAACTCTAGCCGCTTCACCATGACCGGATATTCCTCGTGTGCGGCGGACGGAGGGGAAATGAGATGTTGAACAAGGGCCTTCCGGCTCTGCTTCATCGCAAAGATGGGAGGGTTGCGGTACAGCGCAGTGAGTGCCGGCTTAGTGAAGGTGGAGCACGTTCGAGCCATCTGCACCAGCCATTGTATAGATGGCGAAGGAGACAAGTTTTCGTCTCGGAGAGGATGTGAAGCGTAGACAAATATCTGGAGAAGGACATGGTAGGGCAAGGAGACCCATGCTGGTATGTTTCCATCACTGACAATTTGGAGTGGAGGAGATTCTGGCTTCAAAGCTATTCGACAGTTAGAGGCCGTTTTGAAAAGCACATTATCGCAGACTCTGCTTACATGTCCTCGGCTTTAGGGGAGCGCCAATATTGCGCAGATGTGCCCGCTCCGATAACCTTTGCTGGGTGCGTCGAGGACGGCCAGTCCTTGCCCGTGGCCGCTCCTCTGCTGGAGGGGCTTCCTCTACCTCAAAATCTGCGTCGTCGACATCATCGTCATCGGAGCTAGTTTCCTTGTATATCACAGTGCGCCTCTCCCTTAGCCTGCCGTTGTTTGCTTCATTCTTGCCACCGACATTTGCTCGCGAAGTATTACGCCGCGGTGAGCTAGGGATTTCGGCTGGTTCTTGTTGCTGGTGCCGGGTAGATCGCCGCGTAGGGGTGGCACGCTTCCGCCTTCGAGATCCGCCCTCCTGCGCTGGGTCGCTTGAGAGCTCTGAGTCGGTACTGGGCTCTTTGTAGGATACAGCAGCCCGTTTGCGCTTCAGGCTTCCAGCCATGACAGTGACAAAGAGGTCAGCAGAACTGAAGCAGAGAGGTTGACATTGAAGGGGGCAACAGTCGCGAGGCAATCAAATGAGCAAAGTTGGGGTGCGCATTCCGCAAGCACGCCGTGAACGAAATAGAATGCAGTTTCTCTCAGCGGGCGATTGTCGCACCACTAATAGTAGATGACGCATTGGACCGAGGTATCTGCCAAGAATCCGGATTTACCTTTCCCCGAAATCTATGCCACGTGATCGTCCTCAGCTCCTTGACCAAGAATCAGTGCGAAAATAGCGGTGGCCTGAAGCGCAACGCGAATCGCAGTTGTCGTGAGCTCCAGAGTACGCGTAAGTAGAGTTTCCTTTCTCTTCAACGCGCTTTGCTTGCGAAAATGGTTGAGCTTCACGTCTGACAACGCCCAAACAAAAGCGCGAACCCGACTACACCTGCACTCACCCGCCAGCACTCACTAAGTGCTTTTCATTTGATATAGCATCTTTTGCTCTCTAATTCCGCGTTTGGACTTTTCTCTTCCTGGTCTGGTCAATTGGGTCACCGCAAAAACGCGCTGTTTCCTGCTGCGGTGAAGCGTCGCTGCAGGGCCTGCTAGAGTTCAATTGTTGGCTCTTCCTTGCCTGTCTTCCTCGGTAATGTAAGTGCTTTCCACTCAATTTTCTTTATAATCTAACTGCTGCTAGTCCAACGTTCGAGTCCATTAAGGGGCGGATGCTTTAGACGCTTGTGCCATCAAAGAACCATCCGATGCATTTCAACAGAGGACGCGTGAACGCGTTGAGAAAGTGAACACCGCCAGTGAGGTTGAGTCTGAAGGATTGCTTAAGCGAACTCATTGGCTGTGTTTGACTTAGGCACACCACAACTGTGCCTCAAGCGGGCAACATCCTCAAGACTTCACTCAATTCCTTCATTGCTTAACTCCGTAGTACGGGGTTTAGTATGCCCAAACTCTGTCTTGAACAAACTTCCCAAGTTCTCAAAACACCTCACCACTAGTCTATCAACTCCTACCATTAAGGAGCATGGTCGTTAGGCAGGAGGGCGAATCCGCAAAATTGTACTTTGGAAATTTGCTTTTTTACGACTACCTCAGATACAAGAGGCACCCTGTGTTCCTCAACCGGAATCTCAGAAGGGCTCTGGAATTGCATGACAAGGAGGTCGAGACAAGCCAAAATCAAACTCACCCCAACATTCCGCCAGCCGGATACGAACATATCGATCGCCTTTTCTGGACGATGCCTTCCACCGAAATGATGAGAAAAGAGGAGGCCAAGAAGGCGCTAGTTATCGAGGTCAGGGGTATGGTTCCCGAAAATGCCAAAGGAGTAGTCGATCCAACAAAATCAAGTCCGTCCAAGAAGAAAGTCCCTCTTTTCCGAACAGAAACCCAACTTATGTACTCAATATGGAGCCCTAAAAGTTCGTCATTTCGGAAGACTTTCCAAGACTTCAGCGCGACCATTGTCGGGACACAGACCAATCGAGGAACCAAGATTGTTGTGAACACCAGCAAGGAAATTCGAATTGGACTGGACGATCTCTTGGTTCTTTCACCTGGAGATTCTTGGAGAAAGGGCATGGCAGACCGCTATGGGCTCCAAATAAGCATTAATTTCAGCTCTTCCGTGCATGTTGATGAATTGTTTTCACACCTGGATATCAAGGATTCGTCCTTGCGAGAGGATCCACCCACTCGCTTGATTGCGAAATGGGACAACGTTTTAAATTGTCCCGAAGAAGAGCAACTTCTGCCACTTTTTTACAGAGATTCAGAACGTAGTGAATTAAGGAAGCTTGGCGTCGGGGTGAAGGTCTACATGCGTTGGAAAACCCCCACAGGCGTATCGACCCTAGCTACTGCAAACCAGAGACTCAAAACGTCCCTGCGAAGTAAGCAGAGACAAGTCGTAGGCCAAGCACGATATATACCACCAGAAACAAGCCCGGTCCGCCAAAAGCTAGCGATCACGTATGTCTTTGCCAAAGAAACACTGAAGCTTTACGGCCCTGTGTGCCCTCACTGTCACCGCAAAGATTTTCAAACTTTCGAAGACCTACGAATGCACTTCGACAGTTACCATGACTTCTTCAGATACCGAGTAAAGATGGAGAAAGAAACTGCGAGCACCCAACACTGGCGACTCGAATGCGATGTGGCCAATCACAAAGCCAACACACGAGCGAGCGATAGGGCACCAGACCCTCGGGGAATTCTGGTTGTCAAGCCAAAGAGAGCCTTTAACAAGAAAAAATATTTAAATGAAGGAAACAAGGACTTTCAGAAAGAAGCAAGACTCCAAAAAACAAAGGCATGGTCTTCCAAGACTGTGGTGCCAGTCCCTTTGCATGAAAGGCGCAAGAAACCCGAAGATGTTCCTGTGAAGCCAAAAACAGCAAGGAAAAAGTTTCTCTACAAGGTGCCAAAGGCTCCTCCGGGAATTACTCTGTTCAGGACGATCACAAAGAGGCCTTTGGTGGAAGGAGAGTGGGTCGATGAGAGCGACGATGATCCTGATGTGACTTGGCTAGATATGAAGAAAGAGACTGTCATTCTGAATGATCCAAACATTCCAGAACAAACAAAACGCGTACTTATCGCGTTTGATCGTCACATGCGAGAGGAACAGCTCCAAGGTGAGATACATGTGGGTGACGCGCTCATGCGTTTCACCCGCCTGAATCTCAAATGGCTCATTCAGGAAAACCTTGACCCAATATTCATAGACAAAGTCGATGAGCTTTCTAGTGATGGCCTCATTTCGGGGGATATTTACCAAGCACTCATCGGAATAATCCAATTCTTCACCCGGGAAAGGCTTCGAAAGAGTTCTCCCCACTCAGACAGCATCTACCGGAAACCTTCGCAAATGCTGATAAATGGATTTGAGGATATGATAGCAAGTGTTGAAGGATCGAATCTTGAAGAAACAAAGAGCCAGCGAGACAAAGAGCAGGGTCTATCAACCAACAACATCCGGGAATCTGTCGCTGTCAAGGGCAAGCGCAAGGGCAGAGCGAAAGCCACTCGCTCAGCAGTTCAGGGCGCAGACTCAGACGGCGACATCGAAATGGGAGACGCAGACACCCCTGTGAGCCCCTCCACCAAGAGATCAGAGACACCCCCTATTCCATACGACGAATGCCTTTGTGGGGAAGGAGCCTTCTGTTCATACAACACCACAAAGCCTATCATTTGGTGTAACAATCCTGCAAGTTCCCTCATTATCAGCATATAATTGCTTGTCTGGTCAGTCTTGCTAACCAGATGATAGGACTGTGTCCGCCACGCCTTCCATATCGAGTGCGTGACCGGTAGGTGGGCCCCCAAAGAAAAGTTGGATCCCAAACGAACAGACTGGTTCTGTCAAGATTGTGAGCTAGATCCCGACGTCGACACAGGATCTGTCTCAGGATTCACAGAGGCAAAGGGAGAATGATATAACTGATTTGGATCTTTTTGGCATGTTTTGGTTTGGTGGCTCACGAAGCAAGGCGTTTAGTGAGCTTTGGCGAATTAGGATCTATCTGTTTCAAACACATTTCTTGCTCTACTGGCGCTGCTTTAACTAACCTTTTTACTTCCTTTTCTTTCTCAAAGCTATTTTAAGTGGTCCACAGCATCGATACTGACCTATCTATCTTTTCGAAGCAAGCATGTACTGGCGTTTTCAGGGCTAGCGATACCTTTGTCTCTGTTTCTGCATTAGTATTTTCCAGATTCTGGACGGTAGGCAACGGGCCTGGTTGCGTTCTTGAATTACTTCCCAGATAGTGTCGGCCACAATATTCAAACCACAATTTTTGAGATACTGGTCTTAGACATACTACTTCCAGGTCGTAGATGAATCCGCAGTCGTAATGCATCCTTTGCAAACAGTGCTTGTGACCAGACTTGTTAACAAGCAAGAAGCTTGATAGCTTTTGCTTGTTTTAATTGCTTATTGTCAATTTAATCAAGTCAATTGTCGCCCTAGTTTAGCAATTAAGTCAAGCCACGCTTGGAATTTTAAATCACTTAACTAAATAATTAATAGCGAAACTATGCGGGGTGGCATTAAGCAAGATCGTCCCTATCAGCCCTAAGCGTCCCCGCAGCAGCAAGCCGCAGCCTGTTGATGGAGCCAACACCCATCATCCCCGCCATTACAGCGTCGTCACCGCGTAAAGCCCTAGTTGCTTGCAGGAGCTGAGCAGGGTCATAGAGGCAAGTAAGTCCACTAAGATCTAAACTAGATGAATTAAACAAGTAGGTTGTAAGGTCTAAGGAGCTTAAGAGAGCTCTAGGGTTAATTTTTACTTTAAGAGAAAGGAGCTAGTCCTAATAAGTGAAAAGTACAGCGCATCGGAGGGCAAGATTAAGTCTCAATTACGCAGCTAGCCCAGCGCAGGCTTTAAGCCTCCACTAGATCGCGAATATAGCAAGCTGTAAGGCCGAGATAGCTTACGCGCGACAGGTATATATACCATTCTGTACGCAAGATCAACCGTTGGTTGATTATTCGCACCTTTGGGTTGTATTGGCAGTGGTACAGAGCTCCGTCCTTACACAAGCTTACTAACAACAAAATGGTCAGGGTCTATTATATATGCAGCTAGGATATAAACACTTAGTAATTTGTGCTATACCTAATCTGCTTAACATTAAGTTATCAAATAGTTAGTCAATCAATGTGCAATTAAATATGACTCCAAGAGCTATCAAGTCAGTTTAGTCAATCTCCTTAACCAGTTTGTATCAATAAATTCAAGTTGACAGAAAATTTTGATGGTTTTGCTCGTTACAAGCTCTGCTTGTGACAGAGTGAGATGCTCTGTAAAATTGAGAATGCTAGTAGCCGAGTCCCTAGGTAGAATCTCGACGGATACTTGTTAGTCCCGCTTAGCATCCCTCCTAAAAGAGAATTCCGATAACTAATGTCCAACTACTACGAACTACTTTAGAGCTTAGACCCCTCTCTACAACCGTTTGCTAATCACGTTCTCCAATCGACAGGGTTAGACCGACTTCGACGCGTCGAACCAAAGTCTATATTTGAATCAATCATCGTCGGTCCTGGGGGAACCTCTGTCGGACTAGTCTAACCAGTCTAAAACGGCTCTATTCACCGTGCTTAGCATAGTATTAATAGGGGCTTTCAGGGAGGTGAGGAAGTTCATTGGACTATATAAAGAGCTGATGGAGCTAGGGGCCGAGAGCTTCTCGGAGGAGTACTGAGCTAGAGCGGAATAAATGTATAATCTGAAGCTCCGCATCGGTCACTACCCTTCATACAAGGGCGACCGAGGGTCTAATTCATACCTTCGAAGCCCGTTTATTGCCTAGACCAACGTCTAGCCTTAATGCAACAATACCACTGTTCACCCCGACGACTTTCTACTTCCCAATCGGGCTAGTCGCCGAACTCGACGACCCTCTGTCGGAGTGCATAACATGTTGACAATGGCCTACACCTCCATCCGCCACAATTGGGCATTATAACCTTTAATTACTGAAGCGTCACAACAGCACTGTCTACGTATTTGAATACAGTGAATCATTGAAAAAAGACCAAAAGGTTTTTACCTGTAACGTTCTGTAAACCAATTTGCATTTTTCTACCATCCAGTGGTATAGAAATACTATCCGTTTTAAATCATTTCGGCCCAACTTAGAAGGCTCATATCAAGAACGTGCTTCAATCGCGTATGCAAATATAAAACTGTAGACTCTATGTCTAAATATAAATGAGTATCGAATCTCACAAACCAGCCATCTAAGTACTCTCACTGGCATCGCCATTTTCAGATAGATGTATCCTATAACTCTCAGTAGAACGATTCTTCACAATCTCTAGTCACGTAAATAGGAACTTTGCCTCTTTGTACACTATATAGCCTCCCTCGGTGTTCTCGTTGCACCTCAAATCAAGGCATATAATTCACTCTCCATTGCTTGGCTCACGGTTCATTTTTCCATGCTCCTCGCCCTCCTGTAGCGAATGGGAAACCAATTTTAGTGTAAAAAGATACAGTTCGCTACTAGGCTTCTGTTGCCCGTCCTGAATACCAACTCCAGAACAGAGTGAAGCCCTCTGATCGGATTATTGTTTGCTGCGGAGCGTATGCCTATTCTAGTTTAATTCCGCAGATCGAAGGAATGAGTATCTTTCTGTCTGTTTCTTTTGAATGGATGAATTATTCTATATGAAATCGGCTGTTGTAGGCCGGATAAGCAGGCGGATATAACACGAGTCTTTCTAATCAGACACCAATATTCTATTAGGGTCCTTGGAAGTATCTGCATATAACGCACACAACTTGCCACGCTATCCACACAGCCGGGTTCGGCCGGCTTCCATACGCCAGAATGAGGTCTACACCAGCGCTTCCAACGAGGTGTCGTACTGTATGATTGGGAGATTTTAAGGCCTGTACGGGTGAGATTTGTGTACTTTCGTACGACAAGAAAGAAGAGAGGCAAGTGTACGTATCGTAACTGGTACGGCTCACGTGATCATTACGAGTAGTACAACTTAATTAAAGTACGCTGTACTCTAGTTAAAACAGCTAAGGTTATAGGTCTCTAGAGACGCAGCATTAGGTCTAATAGCATTAAGCCTAATTAGCTAGTTATAAGATAACCAGTTCTCTATAGTAACAAGAGCAAAGAGGTCTAAAAGCTTACTACTTACTACCTTATGCTGTGGCTAGTTCTTCTAGAGTTAAATAGCTTTAATTATTAGTTACTGTATAACTAGCCGCGCTAAACCACTTCACGCAGCAACTAATAGCTAGGATAGTAAGGAAATTAAAGGCAAAGTGAACCTTAGGTGCTAAACAATATAGTTATAGCTATCCACCGCCTTTACAGCGCCTTAAGAGCCTTACTTATAACACCAACAGCAGAGCTAGAGGCAGAATACCTTGCACGGCTCCCCTAGGAGCGCTAAATCTGTGCCATAAGCCTACACCTTTAACAGCGTGCAATTGCCTTGCAACGTCCTCGCAAAAAATTTAGCTAATTAGAGCCCTAGAAAACTCCTAGACGCTCCCTGTAGGCCTACTGATCGCCATACAAACTTCCTCAAAGGGTATTTCAATACGCACTACGTACTGTACCTAGGGCATCATTAAACGTACGGTACGGCTCACGAACTCGGTACGTTCGTACTGAATACGTGACCGTTACGGTTCACTTTGTACGGACCGTTGGAAGCCCTGGTCTACACAGTAATCACTCTCAAAGGTTCTGTCACTGGACAAGCTAGCTAGAGCTAAAATAGCTCTATTTACTGCTCTTAGCCTAGATTTAAAGGGGGCCTCATAGAGTTACATAAAATTTATTGGAATATAATTGGACCGCTACTTAGTTTTTTCGAGGTCTGTGATACTATTAATGTTAATCTGAAGCTCTGTATTATATTTATTGACTGTAACATCTGGCACCTGCTACTGGATCTCTCCTAGCTAATTGAAATACTGCCCATCAGATTTGGCTATCTGAGGCCTGTTAATTATCTACACTGACATCTGCACTGGATCCGACTGTGCTGTCAAACCTTCTAACGACGTTGGAGTCCCAGAATGGGTTCGTAGTTGGACCGAACCCAATAGACCTCTTTCAGAGTGTACATGATGCAACTCACGTGGATAGGTATAGAGGGGTTTGTGATTGACGAATTACTGCTGGTGGGGATTCAATGTAACATTATATAGTTCACACACTGATTAGGAAAGGGAAGTCAAGGGCTAACAGGAACTGGAGCAAGCTGAACGGTCTCAACAATATGGAATCAAGCATTTTTTTCGATCAATTAGAGGAAGTGAAATTGATACCATTTAACCCCATTTCATTACATGATCATGTATTGTAATACGATGTTCTTTGAATCGTGCTTATGATAAGAAAAGGGCGATTCCTCCGTCACAGGCACCGAGCCTCCCTGAAGCGAGAAAAAAAAGCAAAAAAAGGAATAAAACAAAAGACTGTCTGAAGTTCGCTTGCTGCAACGATAGCATTAAAGTTGTGTATCGATCAAAATCCGAACTGATCGCTTTTGTAGAACGATCTACCCATACGCATACGCCATATTGAGCTGTCCACTCGGTTCTACCAGTTTGAGTCCGTGCCCTGCGATAAGTACACTCTAGTGCAAGCAAAATTCCCCCCTTTCCACTCACTGATACGCATTACATGCAACCGACGGTTTCTCCGTATGAGCGAGTCTAGGACTTGAATATCTTCTCCAGGCCCTCTAGCAGTAGATCTGCATGATGACGCTGGAAGATTAGCATAGGCCTTAGCCTCACAGCCGACTCTCCACTACCACCAATATTCAGGCCGACTGTCTTCGCCTTCTTAAGCACCTCGTCTCGTCGCGGGCTGTCCCACGCCAGGAACGTACCCTGCCCCTTACCCCTCAAGTTCTTAATCTCGGTCGGATACTGTTGAGCCAGACGCTCGAGGCCCGCGTACAAGTACTCGCCCGTAGTAGCTGTATTTTCGACGAGATTCAGACGCTCGATTTCCTGGATAATGGCACGAAACAGGATCGCACGAGCGGGGTCGCCCATCCATGTGTTGAATTGTCGGTAGGGTTTGTTGGGCCGGAGTTCGGGGTTGCCGAAGTAGTATCCTGCCGTTTGTGCTTTTTTGCTGAACGTCACCATGTCTGGCGGAGAGCTCAGTCCCCAATGCTCATGGGCCCAGAACTTGCCGGTAGCTCCTACACCCGTCTGTACTTCGTCCACAATAAACAGGATGTCATGCTTCTTGGTCAACTCCCTGAGTCCACGGAAGAAGTTCGGCGAGGCGTGGTTGTCACCGCCTTCGGATTGGATGGGTTCGATGACGACAGCGGCTGGGGGATTGTGGAATTCTTTGATGAGACGCTCGACTTCATCGAGACAGCGCTGTTCCTCGGCGGCGTTTTCGGCGGCGTATTGGTCAAGCGGATACTTGCAAGAGGGGAAGGGAGCTTGCGGCCAGTCGAAGGCGGGGATGTCAAGTTTGTGGATGGCCTTTGAGCGTGTAGTTGACAAGCTGCCAAATAAACGGCCGTGGAACGCAGACTTGAATGACAGGATGGAGAGCTGTGGTGCACCGGGGGACTGGTTCGTCATAGCAGAGCTGATCTCATGGTCGGAGAAGCCGATATGTGCGCCTCCGCGCTGATGCTGTCGTTTCCACATGAAAGCTGCTTTGTAGGCTAGTTCATTAGCATCGGAGCCTGATTGGCCAGTGAATACTTGATCGAGGCCTTTGGGTGCGACTCTCAGAATACCGGTTTCAAGGATGTCGGCCCAGTCGTGCTGAGGGAAGTTCCCGAGGGCAGGTCGGTTGATCAGGGCGGAGGCCATTTCAGGGGAAGTGGCAGCATGGAGGAGCGTGGGGTTGTTGTAACCGACAGGAATAGAAGCGATTTGAGCATAGCTATACGATCAGTTATAACAGAATAACAGTACAGGGAGAGAGCATACACATCGAGCAGGACGTTTCCATCAAGGTCAGCGATGCTACGACATATTAGTTAAGTTCTAATCTATTAGCGGAGGTTAACATACTAATTCCCATAACTGCTTCCATAATTCGTCATCATGTTTAAGCTCCTCGTATCGAACACCTTGCTCAACTTCTCAATCGCCTTCATACTCTGCGGCCCCGGAATGGAAGTCTTCACAATTGGTCCTGTGGGTTCATCTGGAAAGAATACCTGCTCGCTCGTCTCTGGGGCAACAGCGCTCGCGGCAGCAGATGCATACTTTCTGTGAAGGGCAATTGGAGATATCCTCGTAGCAGGTCCAGCAATTGATCGAGAAAAGGCTAGCCGAGAACGGCTCACGGTCTTGAGCAAAGAGGCCATGTTGTGAAGCTGAATGCTCGCAGTGATGTCACTGAGGGTGGGGTTGGTTGCGGCCGCGTCTGCAATTGCAGGCGGGCAAGGCCAGACAATCAAATCTTCTACTTTTAAAGTGAACGAAGTCTTGGAAGCTGCAGAGCAACGACAATAACCAGCGGGTCAAAGTACAAGTTTTGTAAGCCACCTGGACAAGAGGGGCAGCGGTAGCTCTTTATTCCCATCCACTTCATATCATTATTGATAACGGTCCTTCACTCGGATGCTCGCCGGGGACTAAGCCGATGCTATCCCCCAATGCAGCCAGTCCACGCGAACTCCACCGACCCTGTCCTCGGATTTGTGCGCCTCCAGAGAGTCATCTTCTGAGATATACGAGCCTAAATCTGCAAATTCGCCGATTCAAGAGATTTCAAGGCGCGCGTGAAGCCGTTGAAGCCGTACACGCTCCTACACGCCCTGCTTCCCCGCAAATTTGGTAAAAGGAATGATGCGAAAATGCACGCTGACCGCTGAAGCCGATCTCTGGCCCGTGCAGCACGCCCAAACAGGCTTCCCGACAACGCCAGACATGTTCGCGCACAGGATGCAATGCACGAGGCTTAATTTAGGACTAGAGCCTGCTTCCGATTGACTGTTTCACGATTCAAAAAGTCAACGTACCCCATTTCCGCGGTATCTGAGAGGCGCCAGCGAGTGATGCAAGATCATCATGCATAATAATACATTTCCCTAAGTATTTCCAGAACTAGTATTCCATGATCACACCCCCCCCGCCCCCCGAAGGATTTCTCAAGATGCAAAGTTGGATGGGATTGAGACGAGCATAGAATCCTTGCCCTTATTAGCCGCCAACGAATTGCCTCCAACGCCTGTTCGCTTGGGCTTGGGCCCACAGCTGTTCTTGAAACCTTCAACCATGCATGAATCATCGACCAATGCCATGACGCCTTAATGATAATGGATGGGGCTCGCAAAATAAGAAAGCAATGGCAGGAAGCAAAAAACAAATGCAAAGCTCTGAACATCCTCTGGTGGCGTGACCTCAGCTGCTATGAGCCGCCGTTCACAGCTACCGGCTGCCTTTCGCCACTGTTACTGTCGTGCTCGCAGGATCCGTTTGTCGTCGTTGGAGGTGTGGCAAGTTGCATGGGACTCGGGAAGTTATCCGACAGGTCATTCACCTGCTTCACCCGTTCAGCAACAAGCTCAGAAGAGATAGACTTCCCATTGGCGGGGGCACCGTTGACAGCCTCCACTGCTTCAGAGTGAAAGGGGTCAGAAACTTCTTCCATAGGCGTTAGGCTGGAGTCGTCGGATAGATCGAGGGGCATATCCTCGGCTGGGGGCGGTGGCGGTGGCGGTGGCGGAGGGGCTTGCGACTGGTGAGTCCTGGACTTTTTAGGTGACCCTTGATCACCATCTTCTTCTCGCTTCCGTTTCAGCTCGGTTGATGAATCCGCTGGGGAAAGGTTGTGTTCTGCTTCGTCATCTGAAGGGTCCAGCATCTCATCATCAGAGTCTTCTTTTTCATCTTTCACTTCTGCCAATGGCGTTTCTGGTGTCTCTTCTTTCGAAATCCCTCTCCTAGCTGCCTTATCTTTGGCTCGTTTCTCAGCTTTCGCTTTGTCCCTGGCTGCCTTCTTCTCGACTGCCTTCTCCATGAAGCTCTTAACGTACTTCTTCACGGTGGCTTTGTGTTTCTCGGATAGAGCTTTTCGGGGGTCGTCAACACGGTTGGCTTTAAAGTCTCCTCGAACAAGCTTTTTGCCGACCTAACATAGGTTGTCAGCTAGCTGTACTAATTCGGTCGCACCATTTCTCATACTTCTTTTGCTAGTCTCTTCAGATCGTCCTTCTCGAACTTGTCGCGGTATTTTGATGAGAATACCACTTCCTTAATGTGAGGGGCGAGCTATGACTATTAGAACCAAGAATTGTCAGATTGACATGCCATACACTTACAACATTCTCATAGTACTTTTCTTTCTTCTCTTGTGGCACATCCTTCCATTTGTCACTTTTTGACTTCTTCTCTATCTTCGGGGCCTCCGTAGCACGCTGTGGAGTTCCAATTGCCGATGTCGGCCCTGTGGGAGTAGCATTCTTGGTGATGCTACTGATGATGTCCTGCAACCTTTGCGCATCACTCTTGGCCTTTGGTGGAGGTGGGGGTGGTTGTTGGGCCGGCAAAGTTGGACGCTGCCATTGTGTGTGGCCGGAGCCGTTGTAATAGTAAAGAGCACCTGTGTCTGGGTGTCTAGCTTCTGACCAACCTGGAGGGAGTGGGTGGAATTGGCGGGGCCGGTGAGGGGGAGCGCGGGGTCCGTTGAGGAAGTTCTTTTGAGAATTGAAGCGGGGGCCAGAGGGGGCTGCAGAGGGGCCTTTTGGAGCATCTATGGCGGGCGACTTTGACCGTGACCTCGATCGCTCTCGCGCCTTTTCGCGTCGCTCAAAATGGGTATCTACGCGAACTGGAGTGGCAGCATTGGGGTCTCTTTTCACTCTTGGAATGCGATAGCCCATCGTAAGCTTGCTCCAAGCTTCAAGCAACCTAGTAGCTTCAACCTCGACGCGTTCATCGCCACATGTTGTCAAGTCCTTAATCGTAGCCTCAATTCCAGAGTCATGAATCTTATTTCGGGTCACGCGGGGTAACTTGTGGAGGATGTCGAGGACCTGCGACACGACGTTGAAATCGTCTTTCCATGCGGTAATAGTTTTCCCGAGGATATTGTAGCCATGCATTCGGAGAACGCGATGGCCAACCGCTTCGTCTTCGCTTCGCTGGATCCGGCTGAGGAGTTTAACGGCAATCCACTTCTCCTTGCACTGGTTAAGGGCGCCCATGACCTTGGTGACACCATCTTCTTCTAGAGACCTGGGCTGGATCTCGTTGACATACTCCTCATCATCTTCGTTAGCCTTCTTCTTTCGAGGCTTCTTCGCTACCGCAGTATCCCACCCTTCGCCATCATCAATTCCGAGGGCCTCAATAGTAGCATGAGATAGTTTAGTGGCACGCTCTGTCTGCGTTTTGCCACCGATGAAACCTGTGCAGTTCGGCTCGTCGCAGTAACATGGCTGCGGATCTGCACCATATCGGTCGACGTTGTAGTTGAAGACCAACTCTTCGCCTGCTCTGATTTTCCGCTCGGCGAAAATGCCCATGCGCAGCTTGTCCCCAACCACCCACTTGTCCACATAACAATTTGGATTACAAGAATGATTGCAGAACCGCCCGAGATTGCCCTTTTTTGTTGCATCGACGAATTCGCCTTTGGTGAGCGACATGAAGTAGAAATGCTTGATCCCCTCTTCATCATACTGAATCATGCGCCGGCGGAAGTTAGCTTCGTTAATCACCTCGCCGATATACTCGAAAACGAAATCACCCGGCTTCATATCAGCATTCGCGCGAAGACCATAGCCTTTCTTATCTGTTTTAATAACTGTGACATCGGCATATTGCTTCCGTTGAAAGCGTTGATTCTGGCACGCGGACCCGCACGAGCAGTCGCCCACACATTCCATTTTCGTCGCACGGTTGATGCAGTCGGAATCATCGCCACAAGCACGATTGAGCTTTTCAACAGAGTCTATGGCCGATGTTAGCAGGTTGAACAAGGCATAATCGCACTGGGGTAACGCATATGAACCTACCCCACTCCTCTGCGCAATCACACTCCAGCGCATGTTCTGTCGTGCCAAGCGTCTTGTTTCCATATGTGCATTCAGGGAGGATCTTAAACGTTGTCTTTGCTGTTTCGGTGGCATCGGGCAGGTCGAGAAAGAGAGGCGGCGGTCTGGATACGACCTTCTGGGACGCAGTGCGAGAGAGCCTGGGCGCTTTGCCAGGTTCCATCTTCAGCGTAATGTCTCCGCCGACCACCTCTTCCAGCTCCACCTTTCCGGAGGCAGACGAGCTCGGACTGTCTTGTTTGACGGGCGACTGGCTTGCTGATCGAGATTTTGGCTTGTGGGGTATCGTTACGGGAGTGAGTGTACGACCCGGCCGGTGGTCTTTTACCTTCACCTGGATTGTGTCGGCACCCTCATCTCGGACCTCCGCCAGACCTCCTTCTTCGAGCTTCATGTCGCGCGGCTCTGACTTAAGCCGAGCCGACTTTTGCTCGGATTCGCTGTCGGACATGGTTGGGTGCGAGTGGCCGAGCCAGCGTTGTCGGGAGATGAGAGGTTGGAGAAGAGGAGGTGTTGAAGACGAGAGGGACGCTAAGCGATGTTCCGATTGTTACTACTCCACCATGACAATCATGGCACGCCACACATCCGAATAAACCTAGGCGCTTGCAAAGTTGTCAAACAGAAGATATTAGAGACCGTAGCGCGGCTCTACAAAGGTGCAATGACCCCGATTTGGGGTTGCTGGCTCGGTAGGAGGTGGAGGAGGGGAGGGTGTCGTTGCGTTTCGCAGCAGAGCGGATTCGGCTCCGTTGATATAACGACTATGGATAACGCGGTCGCATTCGCTGGGGGAGCAGGAACGAGTTATCGCGAAATAGGTGACTACAGAGGGCCGGCGACGAGAGTGCGCTCGACATCAGATACCGCAGGAGAAGTACCAGAGTAACCAGCGGGATAGGTTGGAGATCGCAGCAGTAGTCGGTGCCCGTGGGCAATGCTCAAGACGGACGGCAGCTCGCTGGGTTCATCTAGAGGGGCGTCGGCACGGTGCGTGAAGGCTGCGTGGTCACTGGGCACACGAAGTCTTCACAGCGTGTGCATTGTGAGGATGGAAATGCGGCTCTGAGATCTTCCCCATCTCGGCAGAAGGGTCTGGGCAAATTTTCGCACTAACCAGAAAACCCCCCCACAACAATTGGCCAAATCACTTCGGGAAGACATTTCCTACATGATCCTGTCCTATGCTACAATACCCATACATCGTGCAGTGTTGGCTGGGAATAAAATCTGCAAAAGAACTCGACGCGTCAAAAGATGAGCATGAAGAACCAGCAGCCTCGGCATGTTTGCAACTGCTTTAATGAAGGGTTAGCATTAAGTTTGAAGCGTATACCGAAGACGAGGATTGCAGAAAACAACAGCGAAATTGAAACAGAAAGCAGGTAGAGAGTTCTCGTATTCTTAGGCATTACTCACCCACCCGCTGGTGAGCATTAACTCCCACAGCTGCAACTTCCACCGCCATTAGGAGAGCGCACCGCAAAAGAAATCATCTCCATGCAAAGAGGCTGTGTCTACATCCTTCTCTTGAGACTTCTTTCTTTGGTCGAGCGAGAATCGGACTCGTTTCCCTTGAAATACTTTGCAGCAGGATCGCCCCATAAGTGGCGGCTTAATTAATGCTTCATGCCACTCCATGTCGTACAAACCATCAATAGGAGGCAGCGTGATTCGACCATGATGAACAAACTCTCCACGTGGAGGAGCGCAGTTGACCCTTGCAGGCGAGCCATTGACCTGGTTCGAGTGGGCGTGTGGAGACCTATGAGATGTCGCAGGCGCTTGATCTTGGTTCGCGATTGCCAACCACTCAAACAATGCGTTCTGTGTTCTCCTCTCACAGCGCTTTATGGTGCGTCTGCCGGTCCAAAAGGTGCTTCGACAGACGGCACCAGTGGTCTGACACCGGGAAGGGCCGATGGCAAACGGTGTTGATGAAGGCTTACGAACGTTGCCATGGTATCGGGACGCTCCCATGCCTCTGACTTGTGAAGCCATCTCGACCAGAGGTGGAGCAATGCACATTTTGGGGCAAGCTGGGACAATACAAAAATGGAGTGACGATGCAATGCTGAGTTAGTGGCGCTTCGAGATCCTGGATGCCTCTGCGAGTGACGATAATAGCCCTTGACGAAACTCATGAGAAATGTGTAGGGGTGGATGCCGCCGATAAGATACGAGGTGTTGAAGAGGATTTAGCCAGTTGGGTCTAGTGTATCTGCGCTCAATGCACAGCGGCATCTCACCAAATGCCCGTTTGATCCCGCCTAGTGTCAGATGAGAGGGCAGATGATCACAACCTCTCCAATGTTCATGCGAACCCAAAGTCCAGTCCGCATTGTCTGAACAGTGAGGTTGAAATTCGACGGCTGTTCAGCAGGCGTTGTCGAATAGAGCCGGCCGTGATTGGGCCGTGGTTCAAAAGTTCGAGGCCCCACTCCGCCCACCGCACCACTCACGATGCTTCAATATCTGCAGCCGTTCCGTCGCGACGTTCCTGGACGGCCTCCCGCCGGACTTGGCCCGCTCGTCTACTTCGAACAATGGCGCAATAGAGAGTTTGCGCCGCACGGCATTGACAACAAACTGAGTCAACTGACCTCTGGCACCTCAAGCAAGCAGTTGACCCGACGTCGTGACGGTGGGCCGAAGTCGCAGACGTTCGATATATCGGTGGCCTGCCATGCCGAGGATTGGGGGCCTAGCGCCGCCCAGCTCATGGCCTCGTTGGCCGGCCGTCGTAATAGCGAGGGCAGACTTCCTCAACTTGGGATATTCATGAAGCTCTCTGGTCTGCGGATGAAATGGCCCATTGGTGCTACGTGGCGATGCATGGAGCGGACTCCGGCTGTCAACGGTATATAAGGGCTCGCAATGGCGACTGTTGAGCAACTCCGCGTACCCTTAATGATCAGTTGTTTCTCCAGGCCCTGTTGTCGTCGTTGCGGATGCGGACATGGCGCTCTTTCGCAGCACTGTGTGAGCAGGGGGCGCACCAAGAGGCGACCCGCCCGAACAGGACCACCACCATCGATCCGCTGCCCCGTCTGCGAGGCTGGCGCCGTCGTGCCCGTGGGTGGGATGGGAAGCCATCTGCAGAGCGTCTGCCACAGTCGTCCATTGCCAATTGCTGGCCACAGGTGCTCACCAGGTAGACGCGGCGGAGGCGATCTCGCAGACTCACACCCTTGGCTGCACAAAGCAACGAGGAAAAGAAACAGGTGCAGCCCGCGCGCGCAGGAGGTGTGCTCGCATGTGTCAGGCTGGTCCCTGGTGAGACTGCGGCCAGAGCGAGAGTACGAGGCCCGCGCGGGCGATTGGCCAGCCAGTGTTCGTTGCGGTTGTTGCGCCATCAGCCTTCAGGACCCCGGCATCTTGTCTGAGGCTGTTGAGCCTTCTGTGGCGGCCCAGCTTCGCCAGAGCAGCTGTATGTACGGAGGCTCTCTTGTCAGGATAGACAGGCTGCAGCTAATCGAGCACGTCCATAGGAGCTGAAGCGGAGCACAGAGTGCGTCGCCGCCGCGTGGCCAATTGATGCGGGTAGAAGGCCATCTGTTGTTTATCATGGCCCAAATTATTTTCTCAGAGCTAATGCAAAACATAACCGGACGCGCAGAACTCCCCTAACACTTGCATCCCATGCAATTTCAAGCGGCCGCTGCCTCTCTCTTTCTTCGACCAGCCTCATGGAAAGTCTCTTTTGACTACCTCTGCCTGCTGGCATGAGTACCGCCGTCCGCCGCAGGTCCTCTTGATGCTCCCCTTCTTCCGCTCGTTATCCTTTCGTTTCCATACTCTCGTTTGTTCTGTTCCTTGATACAGTCTCCCTACCGCGCGCGAGAGGCTCTCTTCGCGCGCGCATCTGCACTTACTTTACGGCCTTGTCATCGCTCGTTGCTCAATTTGTCTGGTTGCATCTAGCTGGGACTCAGCGCGACTACTTTTCCTTGACGTCTTCCCTCCTGTACTGTACCTGTTGCGAGACACGACATGGAGCCTGCCCGGGACGCACCTTGGGCAGAGCACGAAAAGGTACCTGCCGCTGTAATTTCCACTCGTTGACCCAATGGCAGCTTCGTCGTGGGCAGCTTCTAACCTTCTGGTAGGTATACCTTCTGGCCGAAATAATCAAGGCGGCGCCAATACCGTCCCATGTCTTGTACGGCCTCATTCGCGACTCCAACATCCAGCCCAAATGGAACGACATTGCCCTGCCTCACGGTACGTGCACCTCCCCACGCCCTAGAATCCATGCCGCCGTTGCGATTTCTGGTGACTCTAGACGCCGAGCAACCTTGTTTGGAGCTCCTCCTAATTTGCGGACCGTTTTCATTACTAACTTCCCATTTCACGCGTATAGGGCGCTCCGTAAATTCGTGCCAGAGGGCCTTCAATGACATGACAGTAGCCTATTCGACCCCCGACTACAGGCGGGCCCCTCAACTACCCACTCCCATCGTCTATTCTGGCCCCGAGATACCGAAGAAGCGCACCCACCAACCAGAGACACAGACGCCAATTGGCCGCCTTCTCCAACCTCGCCCCCCACACACATTTCCTCAAGAATTCGTGAGCGGCCCCACCTATCATCAAATGACCCCGGCCGGTGAGCCAGCAAACAAGAAGAAGCGGGGTCGACCGACGAGGGCAGAAGCGCAGGCAAGAGCGGACGCGGCTGCAGCACGCGGCGAAGTGTATCCACCACCTCGGACGAAGAGAGCATCAGTAACGGCACCAGAACCACACCTCGGGGAAGCGCGACCGCTCGGGGGGACTCCACCTGGCACGCTCGCGGGTCCCCCCGGAGCATCGACTACTCCGCAGCAGCCTCCGACAGAGCGAGCAGCAGAATCATCTTCTGGGAAAAAGAAGCGCAGCAAGCCTACACCACTGGAGTTAGAGAAGTCACAGAGAGAACCAAGTGAAACAGAATCGCCCTCGGCCTTTGGATCAGCACTTGGAGACCCAAGGAGCAGTCGAGCGTACTCGACCTTCACACCCATATCCGCCCCCCTACCATCAGCAACAGAACCGAGGGATCGAGACCTACGAATGGAAGGAGTTGAAGAATCGCAGCCCCGAACTACCACCCCTCACTCGTTTAAAGATACAGTCGGCATATAAGGCGTTCCTTTCCGTCACAAAAGCACGAACGGCGGTAATTGTCTTTTGGAAGCGTTCGGACGACTTTTTACGCAGTCATGATGACCATTTTGCCATGATACCATTATGGACCTTATGGAGGTATGCTCTGCAAAATTCACGCGTGGCATGCATCTATGAGAACCCATTTTGCGAATCTATTTGCGTTTCCTTTTTCATCGCTATTTTGCTTCTGTTTGAGGAACTTGTTCCTAGACATTCGCTCACAAATTTCCTTTGCAGAATTCCTTGTTCCTGAATTGCATTTCCTGCTTCACACACGAAGGCTGAGGATCTGACGAGCAAATAACCCCTAATGTCTTATTTCTATCTTACGACTTTCAAGGATATTGTATCAGTGAATTGGTTTAAGATTTGTGCAGTTTGCTGCAATGTGTATGTACGATAGTATTGGCTCTCTATTTCTCATGTCCTACCATTTCCCGAATTTCTCCGTCATAACGGCCTTGTACAAAAGCACTACTAGCACAGTATCCATAGTAAAGACCTGCCACCTAAGACCTTTTACGGCCTACTAGCGTGTTGTCGCAGATATCTCACCTTTTTATCCTTGTTGTCTCAGGTTTTTGTGGACTTGTTGCACCGTTCCTGCACGTCAATGTATGTATCCTGACCAGTGAAACAAGACGTCTTACGATCGGCGCCTTCCACAGCTTCTGCAGGCCGACGAGGAGGGAAACCAAAAAGGTTGAGATTGCTTATTTTGGGGCGCGCGAGACGAAAAGATGGCGACACAAAGAACGGGTCTTGTTTCACCTATGGAAACCTCCGCACCACCTTCCTGCTCCTTTGGACACATGACCTTAAACGACAGGGGGCTTCTCGCGAATCGTCTCCTCAACAACCCCTCTCGTTCTCCATATCGGCAATCCTGCACCTAAGCGCCGCTGAACACCGCAAGGGAAATCTCAGTCAGAAGTATGCAGTACGAAAGGGCAGAAGACAGCATACTATCTCAAAAGGGTGTGTCGAGACTTTTGGCCGAGCGCTTGCGGCTCATGACTCAATGTGCATATTCTGCTGCAGCTTGCAGACGCACAACGCATGCATGTACGCATCGGCCAACCCTCCATCCCCAAAGTCCCTCCTGCCCAACCAACTTAGCCTGTGATTTGACGGCTAAAAGAACTCCATCGTCGGCGTACATGTGTAAGATCTTGGATGTTACAGGACTTGGAGCTGCTGACGAGGTGGCTGGGACATATCTTCTGCATTCCTGCAAAAGAACGGAAGGATCGGGATCAGATTGCATATTTGATGGGGAAAATGGCAGGGCCAGGATGCAATATCGAGCTCCACAGACCCGGACTTTGGGGGAATATGCTGGCTGAAAATCTTCATCTTTGGTTATGGTAGCCGCCTCTCACCTCACCATTTCCCTTCTAACATGCAAAGCAAAAACACGGACAGATTAATGCATCTACGGAACCCCCTTTCCTTCCTCCGTTGACCGTCCATATTGACGCCGAATGCGATTGGCATTCAGGCACAATTGTTTTTTTCATCGGCTTTCAAGAACAAATTCAGGGCTTTAATTGCATTCGATCGTGTTCGAATTGTTTCCGATATCACACTCCAGATATTCATCCGACCATAGTTCGCAATGCCCTAAACATAGGATTTCTGCAATATGGAGGAAATCTTATGATCGGCGGTTAACCCGTCATATGGGCAACGTTCGCATCGCATATATGCCTCCGGTTTCCCATTCGGGACGGCCTTCGAGCCGGTTCTGGTCCAGAACAAGGAATAGAATATTCTTTTTATGCACCCTTTTGTGGAACGGAGATTTTTTGCACCGTCCAACGGCCAAAGAGCGATCCTCGCTTTCCCCTGGACGTGGAGGTTGCGGTGGCGGAGTCACAGCAGGAGGTTTGTGTATGCTGGGAGAAAGGGATTATGGGCCTCCGAATGCGAGACGTCATTTCCAGTGTATGCGAGGACCGATGCCTGGTATCCAGTGGCTGTTGATGGAAGGAGTGTCCGTGAGGAGGATCGGTGTCAGCCTTGCTGATTCAGAACACTGGTTCACCGACTGGTAAATGGCTCTCTTGAAAGGCCACGAGCGTTTGTTTCCAACCATTCTGCCTCGTCTTGACGTCTTGTTGCAGTCTCATCGGATGACTTTCCGGCATGCTCAATATTTACGCGTATGGGTGCCAAGGGACTCAACTGCCCTCCAACTCTATCTTCCTTCTACCTTCCTATCTCGGGCTTTGCAGGCGACACCCTCATACGCTTAACGTACCGCAACATGCTTCCACTGTTTCGTGTACTGAGCCGCCACAATACTTCCATTATGGTGGGATACAAGGTACCAGTGAGCGTCCTCGAAAACTCCGCCGAAGGGTTCTAATCCATATCACTGAAGTCCGCATTCGCGACTTCGACTCTACGTTTGAGACCGCTGCTTCCAGTGGAAAATCCCACCAGCCACCTCGTTTCACCACCCATACTTAGTGTTCTGATTGAGTACCACTGAATTAGGTTGAGGAGCAAATCTTTAACATGAACTTGCACCCCTTCGAATATTCCAATACCGAGCATCAACGGAGTTCGAACAATAGTGACGGCTTTCGAAAGCTAGATCACTTTCGTTCTTCTTTAGGAGGAAGATGCTTCCGGTCGGCGATCGCTAGACAGTCTAAGTATTTCATCATCTATATGGAGAAAATACAAGTTGAGAGCGAGCCTGCTCTATAGCTGAACTACACTTAGTCACGCACGATAGATAATCTAGTGAGAGCAAGCTAGGGGGTAAAAAGGCCTCCACAGGGATGCACGGCGACACGGCGATCCACGAACAATCGGAGTAAATGCCTCCCAAATCTTGCTTCTCAAGGGAACCTCTTCGATTCAAATTCTCCAGTTGCTATGTTTTCAGTTCCAACACTCAACGTTTATGACAGCTGTTAACCCACACAACTAATTCCCGATCGACAACTCTTGCCTTTGCTTCGGGCACGAGCGGCATCACATATCTCGACACCACAGCGAGACGTAAACACGAGGGATCTTCACGCCACGCTGGATGGGACGGCAAACAGATTTCGATCAACTCTCCAAGCCACCCCCGTCTCTCTCAAACCATGTACTTCCTAAAGAGGGAGCTGAGGTGAAAAAGGACGGGCTATGATCAGATCACAGACAAGCAATACACCACAAGCGAGCAACATACCTCCCTTTACACCACAACGTAGGTTAACGGTAAATCTGCCGCCGAATTTGGAGAGGCGTGCCGCCGCTTTTGGGGGGATATTTCCCACTACGCCAAGCTCGACCCTGGTCAAGACCCCTGCTTAGCACAAACACTTAGGCTAGGGGGCGTTTTCAACCTCTCGGTTTCGGGATCCCAGAACTGGACCCTCCTCATGAATAGCAGCAAAGCCCTCAGAAGCAGGATGGCTGCTCTTCTACTCCGCCATGAGGCCTCTCTTTGCATTAAATGGTGTACTGGCTTCCTCGGCCAGCTTTCACGCCGACATGAGCCTTCTCCATATTGCAAAACTGCGCGGTCGAGGCAGAGAGTTCTCCCTTGTTCACTATCCAGACTGACCTCACCTTGCTCTAAGCACCGGCGAGCTTCAAAGCTTCCTCTACCTCAGACTGCCCTCTACTTGGCCCTTCCCTCTCATGACGAGGGCGACCATTGAACCCTCGCAGGAAGGATGGCAGTCCAACGTACGAATGAGAGGCAGCTAGGCGGACACTCTGCTGAGCACCATCGACGTCACCGCCAGCGCCTCGTAGAGAAAGGAACAGTAAAGAAAGAGCACGCCGACTCCACCAAAGTGAATATCTACGGCGTAATGCAGAGGTGGACGAAGTAGGCACTCTTGCTAGGTTTATTGTAAGAAGAGACAGGCTAACATCACAAGCAAACACTGCAAATTTCTCGGAGAGGACAGGCTTAGCTTCCTTGTGAAGTGCACGAAGGAAGATATCATGACGTTTTTAACATGGCTTCTCGATCTCTACCCTCGAATACGGAAGAGAAGCAGCCTGCACGAATACTGGAGAGTTTGGCGTATGCTGTATCAAAAGTCGGTCGGTCACAGTTTGCACGCTAAAGTAAGGGAGGAGGTCAACGATGTAAGGAAGGCATCACTGGTCATTTCAGATCGTAGCTTACCCGTGGCAGTACATCGACGGCTACCTGACGAAGAAATATAACCTGGATACGACGGCGAGGGAAAAGCCAGTAATGAATGTTGACGATGTTTATCTTGTCCTCCATCACCACTGGGTCCTGGACGATTCCGTGTTCCCAGACGAACGGCAAAGACTTCAGCTAGCTCTCTTGCTTCTTCTCTCCGCCTATACTGCGACCCGGCCGGCCGCACTGGTGTACGCGATGATAAATAAGAGAAAGCGGAGAGAACACTACATTGGCTGGGAGGAGGATCAGTCTGATTGCGGAGATATGGATTTGGATTTGGAGGACATCAAGACGCTGTGTTACGAGGATGTGAAGCTCTTGATGCTCCCAAATCCTGAAGGGAAGCGGGATATTCTCGTGATGGAGGTAACATTGAGGTATACGAAGGGACATAAGAAAAGACCCAATCCGTAAGTTGTTGTACGAATAACGGGCGCCGCGCTATTAACATCTCCTTAGAAAGACCTTTATCCTTACAGAAGTCGATGCTCTTCTTCTCGAGCCCATTATGCTTATGATCACGATTGCACTTCTTGATAACGCATTTGAGTCCAAGGTCAGGTTCGTGGAAGAGATTCTCCGCATTCGAGTCCGCGCTCCACGCCGCAGCTTGGAATTCTGCTGGCGTTCGGACATGCTGAAGACTCCAATCTTCCGCCAGGCGGAACGCATCACTACGGGCATCCATACATCCCCCACTAAGGCCCTGCGTTATTACACCTACCTCTACTACCTTCAACGGTTAGGCCTCCGGGCAGGATTTATGCAGATCTTGACGGCCTATGCCATCCGAAGAGGAGCTGGTGAGGCGGTTGAAGGTACGTAAAATCTAGTCCAGTCAGGTACTACGGCCATTTTACTGATTCCTTCACAGCCGTTGCCACACAACCTCAACTTCAACAGGTCATAAGCCATAAAGATGCCGGTGTCTACCAGGTGTATATCAACCAACGTGTCCAGTGCGATGTACAAGCTGCCTTCCTCATCCGCCCGTCCTCCACGGCTCTCTTCAAAGCAGTCACGCACATGAGTCGCTACATGGACCCGCGAGCGCCCACAGACCCTACTCCCGAGCAGGTCAACGCCCTGAAGGTTGAACCTGAAATTGTTCAACTTCGAAAGCTGAGGGATCAATTGTCTGCAGAAGCTCGTAGGGAGTCTGGCACGTTCAAGGCTGTTGAGACTGAAAGAACGAAGATGTACCAGATGTACAAGAAAGCCGAGCAAGACCTTCGTTGCGCGAAGGCCAAGGCGCTCAATTCAGCCAAGAGAAGCACCCGACAAAGGTTTTTTGACACAATCAATACCATTGAAATCGACAGACAACTCAACCTATCTCTTCTCGACTTAAACGAAGATGACTGGGAGCCCGAGAAGGTTGAGCACCAGCTGGAAGAACGGAGAGTCGTGGCACAGCTAATCTGCAAAGACATCCAAGATTTGACCGACCAATGCAAATTTGATCATCGGATCCGTACCGTCAACGCGCTCATCGCCTTGTGCCAGAAAAAGGAAGCTCCGCGTCGACAGAACCCGGATCGAACATGGGGCGTTAAACAAGAGAGCGACTTGCCACAACCTCCTCCATTCCCCGTGGCTTGCGCGCGGACGCAATGTCTCTTCTGTTTCTGGAACGCGAAGGAACCATTCGATGTCCGACTCCACCATTTTTCGACATTGTATAAAGCCAGAGATCACGTCGAGCGGCATTTGAATCAATTTGAGGCGGATGGGAAAATCCCATGCCCAGATCCAGGTTGTCAAAAAGCTGCTGTCATCCTTCACGGACACATGCACTTCAAGAGTCATGCTGCACGTAAACACGACTATGATATATTTCGCAGGCTTGGGTAGATAAAGGTCTACTGAGTCCAAGGTTCTTTGTTCCGGTAGCCCAGAAATGTATAGAGTTCGCCCATATTCCAAATAGTACCTAGGGAAAGATTGGATCCGCGCTGCCTCAGCCCTTTCGAGACAAGTGACATGATGTCATTGTCACCCCAGGAATGCCTGAAGAGCACATTCCCTCTAAATATCAGGCCGGTTATGGAAGTTCCTCCCTTCCCTCCTTCCAGCTGCCTAGTCACATGGCTATCCATTGGATAATGCCTCTTTCCGCTGGTTCGGGTCCACTCTCGCTATCGTATTTGATACGCCTAGATCAGAAGGCAGACAAGGATAGCTTCAGGAGGCTTGAGTGCGTCCGTTGTGCACCAAAGACCGCCAACCGGATCTCCCCCACAGTATGGAACACAGTGGATATCGTCATTATACGAAAGGCGCTCATTCCAAATACAAGATATCGCCGGAGGCAATGCTATGCAGGTGCCTATTAAGCCACACGCATAATGTCCGTACCACCCATGACAGCCGACGAAGATGGTCTCACGGGAGGTGGTATTCATGCAGATGCCGAGGAGAGACTAGGCGCAAGGAGCAGGGCACCAACCGAGTCTGCCTTGGACAGCGCTATGCTTTAACTAAGATACATAAAAGGCCGCTCTCCCCTTCGTTTTCTCTTTCTTCCGCACTTCTCTCCCTCCTTTCTATCCTTCCTCCCGTTCGCCTATCTCCCGCTCGTTGCCTAAAGTTAAGACCATATCTACCAAGGATGGTTTTAAAACCTAGTACCAGCAGCCTTATCTACCAAATATTTCATGGAAGATGAAAAACACCCAATTCCCGGCCACCCACGACATCGCACCGGAGAGCTCGAAAGAGAGCGGGCAGCATGACATGCTTAAAAGCGCTTTTAGCAACTGCCGGAGCATTGTAGTTATTAGTGGAGCAGGTATATCAACAAAAGCGGGCAGTAAGTTTCCCATGCAATTTGGTCTATCGAGTTAAAACTAAGGCTTTCCAAGTTGCCGATTTTCGCAGCTCCAGCCGAACAAAAGGCTCCAGCCGTCAGGTCTTTCATATATCGGCCTACTCTTCAGAAGAGTCTACCGCTCGCTTGCACAACACGATGTACCAGATGTTTACAGCCGCCGAGCGTTCACAGCCTACCGCATTCCATTATTATATGAGCGGCCTTGCTGTCTCTGGCAAACTCCGTAGACACTATACCCAGAACATTGACTGCCTGGAGACTCAACCGCCTTTACTATCTCAGAAGACGAAATGGCCTCATGGCCGACTTGACAGGATGATTTGTCAGCGATGCCAACTAGTCGTGCCAACTAGTCCAGATTCCTTTCAGCAGCAGGCGCTATCTTCTTGTGTCAAATGCGAAGCAGCTGACCAGGAACGGCTGCAAGCTGGTAAACGATCCCATGGAGTTGGCCTTCTTCTTCCTAAGGTGCTTCTTTATGGAGGAGATAGCCCTGATGAATCGGATATTGCAGATTCATTTGAGAAAGATTTAAACGATCCGGTCGATGCTGTTATTATTGTGGGAACGAGGTTGCAAATCCCATCTTTAAGGCGGCTCGCTTATAGACTTTGCGAAGCGGTGAAGTCTAGGGGAGGTATTACTTTGTGGGTCAGCGACGAGCCCTCGAAGTTGGGCGTGAAGTTTCAATCGGTTATTGATTTTGAGGTTCTTAGTGACTGCGATGCCTTTCCCTTTTTAATAGAGTCGGGATGCTGAGGGCTTTTAAAATGTTTGTCTTCTGGGTAGTTAACTTAATCTAGTTGAAATATATGACGCCATGTTACATGTAACACGCTCGGGAAGAACCTTCCGCTCGTTAAGTTAAAAGCGGACAGTAAAACCTCAGGCATAATGTCATGGAAAGCACTCTAGGCCACAAGCTGGCTTAGAGCAATCGTTCTGGGGTTCCGTCTGTTATTCCCATCGGAATATTCCCAGTGGGAATGCTCCCAATCGGAATGCTACAAGTTCGGAATATTACGTGTGGGAATATCCCCTGCTCCCTGAGCTACTAGTATCTTGCTTTTATTATATTATAATAAAGTATTATTATTGTTTTTTATTGCTAGATTTTACTATTGTGTTTCTTTAGTACCTAGGGGTTCTCTTTGTGTTAATAACGTCTTAATTGTCTTCTATTCTTAAGTATAGCGTAGGGGCTTACTCTATAGTTACGCTTTAGTAATTTAAGACTCTTTTATCTACGTGTTTTAGAGTTGTGCTTTTTAGTTCTTTAGTTCTTTCTTAAACTTAATTATAGCTACTTTTAGTGCTTCTACTTTAGCGTTGCTTTTCTTAGTATAGTCTTTATAGAAGTATTCTACTTCTCTATATCATAGGCATGCTTTAGCGTTAAACTAGGCTTGTTGCTCTTCTTTGCTAATACTACCCTAGTTCTTTTTATTCTTAGGTTAGACTTTATCTACTATAATAATGTCTTTATCTCTGTCTTTATAGATAGTACCTTACTTTCTTTCTAAGTTCTACACTGTTTGTCTAGTCTATTTTTTCTTAAGTTTTTATTCCTATAGTTTATTATTAATACTTATAGCTAGAGTAATAAGCTTGTTTAAGTCTTTAGTTTTCTTATAGTGTGTTAGTTTGTCTTTAATTTTATCCTTTAGTCTGTAGTAAAAAGCCCTTTAAAGTAGTGTATTATTCTAATTAATCTATACTTTTAACTATTTAAAGCGTATTATGTACTTATTAACTAATAACTTCTAACGTATAAAAGTTATATCTTTTTCTACTTATTCCTTCTTGTCTATGCTACTAAATATCTTGCTTATTTCTTTCTTAGAATTATCCTAGCTACTAAACAGCGTATTAGTATTGTTGTTTCTTAAGTCTAGGTTATTATTTAGGTAGTCTTCGATGTAGGGTTGTAGCTAGATTGCTGCTTTATCTTTTAGAAGAAGGTATGTCTTCTAAATCTAAGATACTATGTCTAAGTACTAGTAGTTACTCTAGCAGTATAGGTTTATTGCTGTTATGAAAGTTTTAATTTCTTCTTGTTTTCTGCTAAACTTCTTAGGTTTAACTTATTTATTACCTCTTAGGGGTACTGTTATATTTCCTTGCCTTACTTTTAATTCTTAGATTATTGCTAAAAGCTTATAGAATTGTATTCCTTGTTGTTGTATCTAGCTAGTGTACTAAGTTAGAACCGTTGCTAGGTTTATTATAGTGCTAGTAGTACTACTACTAAATATCTAAAGCGTATGTTAAATTAAAGACATGTTAATTTCTTAGTCCTAATACTATTAAGTAGTTAAAGTATTATAATACGTAGGCAACTTACCTAATACTAGTTTAGGTTAGGAAGGCTTAGTAACATAAGTCTAAGTATTATAGTAATTTAGAAGTATTTAGAGGTAAGAAGTACAATAGAGGTAGGTAAGTCAACTAGACTTCCCTGTGATTTAGCAACCGCTAACCGTTACAAGTACATGAACGACACTACCCAGCAGTTCTACTACGGCAAGATCAAGGACAAGGATTCTGTCGAGAACGATGTTGATAACTTCTGGCTTAATCTTTTGCCTGATTACTTTCAGAAGAAGCTGAAGTACGGCATCGAGCAGGAAGCGCGTCCGCTACCAGAGGTCACCAAGCAGCGTGCCGACTGGACCATCCGTTACATCAAGAATGGTGATCCGAAGAAGGTGATCCTCATAGAGGGCAATCGTAAAGGCATGGAGAGTCAGCCCGCCCAGTGGGCTGACTCTCCATGCCTCCCTCGACCAGCTCACCAGGTACATGAAATTAGTACGCACTGAACGCAATCAAGATCCCAAACGAACTCTCTACGGCGCCGTCAACATAGGAACCTACACCCGATTCTACCAACTGGATCCCTACGAGCAAGAATGCATCGACTATCCTGGCACGAACGGGAAATGCTATGAGCTCGCAGGTAATGAGGCGGAGATTCATGCGATTCTGCTGAATTTGGTTCAGAAGACCTCACACGGGGAAAATACGTCTGCGACGAGTTCTGGAAGCTCAAGCTTTCCTATTCAGCATAGCATTACGTCGTCTTACGCCTCAGATTCAACAACGGGATACTCTCAAGACCACGTTGGATATTACTATTTGCATAGTAATGGGGCAAAGATTTACTGGAAGAATGGAAAGCACTGGTATATTGATTCGGCCAACCAATGGGTTGAGTATACCGGTGCATAATGGTGCTTTCTTAAGCTTAGTAATTCAATGGTTCTGGACGCTAGTGGATTGCAATTCGCGCTGAATAGGGAGATGTTGGACGAGGAAATGGTACTCGCGTCACTCGTTTTGTAAATTACTTGTTTACAGTTTGCTTTGGCGTTTGGCAATAGTTAGGGGCGAAAGACAACACAATCCACACACCGAATAGAATTTCGTGATCACAAACTCTTGCCCCCTATCGCCTTTAAATCATTAGTGGAAAGGTACTAAATTCTGTTAGAAGCTAGCTGGGAGTACAATGGCCATTTAATATAGTCTGCTATTATTAAAAAAACAGTTGTAAATTATGAATACAATTGACCGCCAGACCCACTCTTCTACGTGTTATCAATGGCTTCTGAAATTGCACCTAAGCTGATAAGACTAAACTCTGGGTGCTTCACTCTCTGGTCAACAACGCTCATCTTCAATGCGGCAGGGTCTGTACTAACCTGACTTGCATAAAAACCTGTAAGGGTAGTTCTGGAAGCAATCGCCACAGGTCTTAGAGTAGCATCATCTGACAAGGCGCCGGTATGGAAGGACTGTTTGCGATTTGTTGTGATCTATAACGCACCACAAGAGTAAGAGAATGGGCGCTAACTTACAACTACATTTTCTCTAGAGATACAAGTAACTCACCCTAATAGAGTTTAATTTTCTATGCTTAAGGAAACTATAAGCATTTCCTACTTGATCTTGCTCGAGGGTGACTTCAACAGTTTCTATGAGCTCACTGCTGGCGCCATTAATAGGGAACTCTAGGATCTTTAAAACGTCTGTATTTTTGGAACGGCCAAGCTTGCACGCTCTAGTGGAGCCATGAGTTGTATCATAATGAAACTCTAGACTGTAGAGGCCCCCTAAGCAGTTGACAGAGACTCTGGTCACACAATTAAGGTAGCTACCACTAGGACTGCTAAAATGGATCCAGAATAATGGTTGGTATCTAGTACTTAATGGATTTTCGCCTGTAAATGATTCTTTGTTTAGGCACATCCTAGGTTTAGGCACTTTAGGGTACTATAGCGCTACTTTTTGCAATGACAAGTCATGCACAGGGCTTCCAACAAGGCGTAGTACTGTACGATTGGGCGATTTTGAGGCCTGTACGGGTGAGATTTTGGGTACGTTCGTACGACAGGGAGGAGGAGAGGTAGGTGTACGTATTGTAACTGTTACAGCTCACGTGATCTGTACAAGTAGTATAATTTAATTAAAGTACACTGTACTCTAGTTAAAACAGCTAAGATTATAGGTCTCTAGAGACGCAAGATTAAGGTCTAATTAACTATAAAATAACTAATTCTTTTTAGTAATAAAAGTAGAGAGGTCTAAAAGCTTACTGCTTACTACCTTATACTATAGCTAGTTCTTCTAGAGTTAAATAGCCTTAATTATTATACTTTTTAGTAAGCCTTAATTATTAGTTACTATATAACTAGCTGCGCTAAAACACCTCTTACACTTACAACTAGTAGCTAGAATAGTAAGGAAATTAAAAGTAATCTTAAAAAAAATAAGATAAGCTATTTTACCTTTAGTAAGCTACTATTATAAAAGTTCTTTATGTAGTAAGAGGTAATCTTTATAGTAATTAGCTTTTATAAAGTTATAGTAAAGCTGTAGCTTATTTAACACCTTTTTACACTTATATAAGCGCTAATTTATTATAAAAAAAAGTTAATAGAAAGGCAAGCTTTATAATTATTATTATAATAGTTGCTACCTAGCAGCTTGTAACACTTAGAAAATAATAGCTTATTTTTAACCTTATGCTTATTTTTAGCATTTAAATACTAGTTAAAGATTATTTTTATTAACTTAGTTACTTTATCTACTTAGCTTTTATAATGCTGCTAGTAATCTTAAAACTAAAGTAAGTGTAATTAAGAGTTAAGAATAGTAGTAACTACATAGTATAAAACTAGTAGATTAAGGATTAGTTTACCTTAGTAAGTAGTAAGCTTTTAATAGCTAAACTTAATAGTGTTTTTAAAGTATAAGTTACTTAGCTTATTAGCAGTAATTACTTTTATTTAATTAAAGTAGATTTAGAGGCACTAAAGCTTTATTATAGTTTTTTATAGTAAGCTAGATAAGCTTTAGCCTTTAAGTTTTTTTATTATTTAATAAAACTTCTTTAAAAAGTCTTTAAAGTGCTTAATTTTATTCTAATTATCTTTAGTAATAAGATCTACTAAAGCATTAAAGCTAGCTTATTAAGTCTTTTTATTAGCATTAAAAAAGCTTTTTTATTACTATTAGAAGTAACTAATAGCCTCTCTAAGCTTATAATAGCGTAATAGTATAAAGTAAACTAAGTGCTAGTGTACTTTACTATTATGCACTAGATTAAGTATGCTAAACTACTAAATTAAGTCTTTTTTTATAATGTTAATTTAAAGAGTCTTAAAAAGCTTTATATGCTTATATAATGCTAGCACGCTGTTTATAAAGTTATAAAGTTGTCTAACAACTTTACACTTTCTATATAGCTTAAATTAATTATGTAAAGCAGCTTTAGTAAGCTTTTACTTAAATTTTATAACACTTTTACTATATATAATAGCTTTAATAACTACCTAAATTATATAAGCAGCGTAGTAGATTTAGTGCTGTTTATTAAGCTTATATAGTAAGTTAAGCTTTTTATTAAAGCTTTAGATAAGCTTATTATTATTATTTAATATATTATCTCTAACAAAGTAGCTAAATTTTAATATAATATTATACTTATTAATAATAGTAGCTGTTGAATAGGCTCTGACAGCTAGCTGCTTATAGTATAAGCACTTAAGTAGCAAGAGTAAGAGTGGTGTACAGTGTGCACAGCGTACAAGGTAGGTAAGGTAAGGGCAACATGTTTTTAGTTTTATTGCTCTTGTCTTTCCTCTGTATAAAGGAAAAGGGGGATATCTAGATATTCACACATAGAGGTTTGCGCACAAGCATTATGTAACATAGATACATAATCCTGCTTGTGCGCAATTGCTTGTATCTAGGCTGTAACGCTGCTGCTGCGTACAGACACTAGCAACTTTTCTTTTTATCTAAAGAGTTGCCTTCTGTACGCGTTACCTTCTTTCTGTCTATGTAGGTCTATCTAATTACATTCTGCCTTTACTCTACTCTATTTATTAGGACTTGCCTTAGTAATGCTATGCGTTAGGATAGGCTAGTTGCGCTATGTAAATAGCTTTTCTCTTCTTTATCCTTTGCTTTCTAAGCCCTACTGTACTATTCCCTAGCTCTTTTCTCTTTTTGTACAGTGCTGACAGTGACAGATACTCCCGCCTGCACACACACACACACACACACACACACACACACACACACACAGAGAGAGAGATGTCTCTCTAGCCTTCCTCCTCTACCTCTAGCGCCGTCAGTGCGGGCGTCTTTAACGTCCTTGTGCAGTCTAGCAGCCTAGAGTGCATCTGTGTTACCCTTTTAACTAGTTTTGCTACTAATTAGCAGTTTATTTAGCATTTTAGCATAAATATATAGATCTTTTAGCTCTTCTGCTTTCTTCTTATATAAAATGCTAATTATAGATAAGCTAAGAAGCAGCATGTAGCAGCTTTACTATTTTATAATATTAATATTATTTTGCCTACTAGCACTAATCTGCAGCTGTGGGCAGCAAAAGTTGTGTGTTATAAGAAGTACTTCTATGCAGTTTTAGTCTAGAGTTATAGTTAAGTCTTAGTAACTTTATGTGCTTATTATTATAGTAGCACTACTAGTGCCTTTTCTTTTATTAAGTGTTATGTGTTAGCTAACTTCTAGGCTAATGCCTACGCTTTATGCGTATAGTAGAGCTGTGGTCTGCATTATAACTACTATATATAAGGGGTAGTAGCTTTTTCTTCTTCTATATACTAGATAAATAGACTGTCTTTTTTACATATTCTTCTCTTCTAATCTTGTAATAAGAAAAAATAAGTGTGTATAATAAAAAAATAAAAAAGATAGGCTTTATATAAAGGCGTTGTTAGTCTAGTTAGTCTAGGGCATCTTTACGCACAAGATCTAGCTAGTCTACAGATGCTTCTATCTAAACAGAAAGGCAGTTAGTTAGGACTAATAATTAAAAAGCTTAGTTTAGTGTTTTTTTTATACATACATTTACTAAGTTATTTTTACTATTAATTTACTTTATTTTAGTAATTTCTCTTTTTTTATATAATTTATAAAGTAACATAATGTTAATTATAAGTTACTTTTTACTAGTAGTGCCTAGCTTAATAAGGTAATTATATAAAGACCTTAAATTTATGCAGATTACTACTAGAATTAGTAGTAGTTTAAGTGTTTATATAATTTACTATAAAGTTATACTAAAAGTAATTATATTATTAAACTTTTTAACTATTTTATATAGTTTACTAGTAAGGACACTTTTAGTTACTCTTTTACACTTAGTAGAATTCTAGTGTATAATGTTGCCTAGTATTTTAAAGTAGTTGCTTTACTTTATATAGTTTTTATTACTTAATATAATTAAAAATCCTAGCTATAAGCTAAGGTTTTTATTATTAGTAAATAATTTATTTATAAAGATAAACAGCTTTGCATAATTAAGCTATAATAGTAGAAAAGTAAGA